ACTGATTTTGATCTCTGGGACCCACAGAGTGGAGGCAGGGAGCTGACTCCCTTGGGTTGTCCTCTGATCTTCACAGAAGCCCTGCAGTATGGGTATCCATACACATGCGTACACGAATAAGTGAAAAAAAGGCATAAAAGGCCCACAAGTAGGGTTCATAGCAAGATGGCAGCTAGGAGATTCTGAACCGCCATCTCTCAAGCTAGCCTTCCCCTCCCAGGGCTCTCTGTCTCCTGAGCCATTAGTTTCATTGACAGAAGATGGGAATCTTCTAGACCCAGCTGTCTGAAACAGGTTCATTTTGCACTGGTCATCAATTTGCCTGGCTCCTGTAGACAGAACATTCAGTCACGTTACATGAAGCATGTGCATCACTTAGAGACAGCAAGGGAGAAAAGACTGGCTGAAGCCTAGTACCCCAGGGTCAGGAGAGCTGCCTGGTGTGGATGGAGTCTCATCTCTGTGCGTCCCACTCCCACTGCAGCCGAAGGATAGAAAAACGGCCTTCCCTGACTTGTGTGCTCTAGGGTCACATACTGTCGGGCTAAACCACTGAAAGATACCCTGTTTCTAGAGGGGACAAGGACAGGGAGTTTGGTCCATTCTAGATGTTCCTCCTAGATGCTGTATACTCAGAACCTTAGCTTCCTGAGGACCCAGGAAAGGTGAGAACTGCTTTTAGACATGAGTGACTCCAACGCCCTCCAGATCTTTCCAGTCTGGTGAACAGTCCCTCCAAGCCTCTCTCGTGTGTCCTGACCTTCTTGCACACACCATCTCTTCCACCTCTTTCCTCAGATGCCAGGATTGGCATGATTCAGAGGCCACAGCTCACTCTCCTGGCCAAGCCAATACTCTGTGGAAAATGATTCTTTTCTTTTTCTCTTTTCTTCCTTTCCCTCCCTGTCTCCCTCAAATATTTTCATATCACGTGTATGGGTAGTTTGCCCGCATGTATCTGTGCACCACATGCATGAAGTGCTGGAGGAAGTTGGAACTGGAGTTACAGATGGTTATTAGCCACAGTGTGGGTGCTGGGTTCTCTGGAAGAGCATGTTATGGCTGTACCATCTCTCCAGACTCCCTTCCTTTCCTTGAAACATCGCCCCATGTAGCCCAGCCTGGGTTCAAGCTCCCTAGATAGTCAAAGAAGATCTTGAATTCCTGATTCTCCTGCCTTTACCTCCAAAGTTTTAGGATTATAGGGATGCACTGCCACACGTGCCTTTCTTTTCTTTCTTTTTTTTAAGCAAAATTTTTACTTAATTAAAAAGAATGTGATGCATTAGGAAAATTATCCATTATGATCAAGTAGGCTTCATTCCAGAGATGCAGGGCTGGTTCAACATACGCAAATCTATCAATGTAATCCACCATATAAATAAACTGAAAGAAAAAACCATGTGATCATTTCATTAGATGCTGAAAAAGCATTCGACAAAATTCAACACCCCTTTATGATAAAGGTCTTGAAGAGAATAGGGATACAAGGGTCATACCTAAATATAATAAAAGCTATTTACAGCAAGCCGACAGCTAACATTAAATTAAATGGAGAAAAACTCAAAGCCATCCCACTAAAATCAGGAACACGACAAGGCTGTCCACTCTCTCCATATCTCTTCATTATAGTGCTTGAAGTTCTAGCAATAGCAATAAGACAACATAAGGGGATCAAGGGGATTCGTATTGGAAAAGAAGAAGTTAAACTTTCATTATTTGCAGATAATATGATAGTATACATAAGCGACCCCAAAACTCTACCAAAGAACTCCTACAGCTGATAAACACCTTTAGTAATGTGGCAGGATACAAGATCAACTCCAAAAAATCAGTTGCCTTCCTATACACTAAGGATAAGGAAACAGAGAGGGAAATCAGAGAAGCATCACCTTTCACGATAGCCACAAATAGCATAAAATATCTTGGGGTAACTCTGACCAAGGAAGTGAAAGATCTATTTGACAAGAACTTTAAGTCTTTGAAGAAAGAAATTGAAGAGGACACCAGAAAATGGAAGGATCTCCCTTGCTCTTGGATTGGGAGGATCAACATAGTAAAAATGGCAATTCTACCAAAAGCAATCTATAGATTCAATGCAATTCCCATCAAAATCCCATCAAAATTCTTCACAGATCTGGAGAAGACAATAATCAATTTTATATGGAAAAACAAAAAAACCCAGGATAGCCAAAACAATTTTATACAATAAAGGATCGTCTGGAGGTATTACCATCCCTGACTTCAAACTCTATTACAGAGCTACAGTATTGAAAACAGCTTGGTATTGGCATAAAAACAGAGAAGTCGACCAATGGAATTGAATAGAAGACCCTGACTTTAACTCACAAACCTATGAACACCTGATTTTCGATAAAGGAGCTAAAAGTATACAATGGAAAAAAGAGAGCATCTTCAACAAACTGTACTGGCAAAACTGGGTGTCAATCTGTAGAAGAATGAAAATAGATCCATATCTATCACCATGCACAAAACTCAAGTCAAAATGGATTAAAGACCTCAATATTAGTCCGAACACACTGAACCTGATAGAAGAGAAAGTGGGAAGTACTCTACAACACATGGGTACAGGAGACCACTTCCTACGTATAACCCCAGCAGCACAAACATTAAGGGCCTTATTGAATAAATGGGACCTCCTGAGACTGAGAAGCTTCTGTAAAGCAAAGGACACTGTCACTAAGACAAAAAGGCAACCCACTGACTGGGAGAAGATCTTCACCAACCCTGCAACTGACAAAGGTCTGATCTCCAAAATATATAAAGAACTCAAGAAACTAGACCTAAAAGGCTAATCAACCCAACTATAAAATGGGGCACTGAGCTGAACAGAGAATTCTCAACAGAAGAAGTTCAAATGGCCAAAAGACACTTGAGGTCATGCTCAACCTCCTTAGCGATCAGGGAAATGCAAATCAAGACAACTTTAAGATACCATCTTACACCTGTCAGAATGGCTAAAATAAAAAACACCAATGATAGCCTTTGCTGGAGAGGTTGTGGAGAAAGGGGTACACTATTGCTGGTGGGAAAGCAAACTTGTGCAACCACTTTGGAAAGCAGTGTGGTGGTTTCTCAGGAAATTCGGGATCAACCTACCCCTGGACCCAGCAATACCACTCTTGGGAATATACCCAAGAGATGCCCTATCACACAACAAAAGTATATGCTCAACTATGTTCATAGAAGCATTGTTTGTAATAGCCAGAACCTGGAAACAACCTAGACAACGTAGATGCCCTTCAATGGAAGAATGGATGAAGAAAGCATGGAATATATACATATTAGAGTATTACTCAGCAGTAAAAAACAAGGACTTCTTGAATTTTGCATGCAAATGGATGGAAATAGAAAACACTATCCTGAGTGAGGTAAGCCAGACCCAAAAAGAGAAACATGGGATGTACTCACTCATATTTGGTTTCTAGCCATAAATAAAGGACATTGAGCATATAATTGTTGATCCTAGAGAAGCTAAATAAGAAGGAGAACCCAAAGAAAAACATATAGGCATCCTCCTGAATATTAACCTTCATCAGGCGATGAAAGGAGACAGACAGAGACCCACATTGGAGCACCGGACAGAAATCTCAAGGTCCAAATCAGGAGCAGAAGGAGAGAGAGCATGAGCAAGGAACTCAGGACCGCAAGGGGTGCACCCACACACTGAGACAATGGGGATGTTCTATCGGGAACTCACCAAGGCCAGCTGGCCTGGGTCTGAAAAAGCCTAGGATAAAACCGGACTCGCTGAACATAGCGGACAATGAGGACTACTGAGAACTCAAGAACAATGGCAATGGGTTTTTGATCCTACTGCATGTACTGGCTTTGGGGGAGCCTACGCAGTTTGGATGCTCACCTTACTAGACCTGGATGGAGGTGGGTGGTCTTTGGACTTCCCACAGGGCAGGGAACCCTGATTGCTCTTTGAGCTGACTAGGGAGGGGGACTTGATTGGGGGAGGGGGAGGGAAATGGGAGGCGGTGGCGGGGAAGAGACAGAAATCTTTAAGAAAGAAAGAAAGAAAAGAAGGAAGGAAGAGAATGTGATGGAGTATTTTGCCTGCATACATGTGTTGTGTATTGCATGCATGCTATAGTTATTTTTTTAAATATGTATTTATTTATGTATTATGTATACAATATTCTGTGTGTCTGCCTGCATGCCAGAAGAGGGTATCAGATCTCATTTCAGTTGGTTGTGAGCCACTATGTGGTTGCTGGGAATTGAACTCAGGACCTTTGGAAGAGCAGGCAATGCTCTTAACCACTGAGCCATCTCTCCAGCCCCTTTAGTTATTTTATTATTATTGTGTGTGCATACACGTGTGTGTGTGTGTGTGTGTGTGTTGTGTGTGCACATGAGTTTGGTAGGAGGTACCTGTGGAGGTCAAAAGACCACTCTGCAGAGCAAAATTCTCTCCTGCCCCATATTTGTGTGTTCCAATGACCATTCAGGTGAGCAGGGCAGCTGTCAGTTCCTTACTGGGCCGTGATGCCTGTCCCCTCTTTTTTTTGTTTCGGACTGTGATGTCTGTCCCTCTTTTTTTGTTTCTTTGAGACAGACTCTAAGCACCCAGGAGGGGGACAGGACATGGACGCCTAAAATCAGGTCATAGTCTAAACGGAGAGACAAACCAAGTCAAGATTCAATTCAGTGACCTACGTCTCCTGGCGTTCAGATCAGAGCCAGGTACACATTATAAGTAATTGATTAAAAAGAACTAAGAGTTGTTGCACGGGTCATGAAAGTCGCACTGTTGCAGGTTGCCAAGAAGCCCACAACCCACTCCTCGTCCTTAGGAAAGGACAGGTGGGCTGCGCCCTCGGGAAAGACTAGGCTGTGAGTACGGCAGGGTCCGGCAGGTGGCGCCGCAGATCCGAGGCCCAGGGCTCTCTAGCCGCGCCGGGAGAGGCAATACGAGGTCACACAGCTCCTCGGACTTCCGCCGGCGCGACCCACGCGGCCCAGCCTAGGGCACACCCTTGCGCCCTGGGTGCGTTGTCGAGGTGTCGGAACCCTGCCTTCTGCCGCCTTGCTCGCCATGGCTTCCTCCCGGGTCCGGATCGGGAGATGGGTGGCAGCAGCCAGGGCGGCCCAGAGGCGCCCCCGTGTGGACAGCCTGGGACAGCCTCGGATTCCCGAGTCCGCGAGCACGCGTGCCGCGCTTTACGTCCACGTGAGTGGGTGGGGTCGGGCAGAGGGAGGCCTTGGCTGGCGCTTGTCCCGTTGTTGTTAGTTTCCGTGCTCCAACATCAATCACATCTGGTATAGCATCTGTCCCCCTCGTCCTACCCCACCGGAAAACGTCGGGCCAAAGACCTAAAGTCTGGTGCTCACCAGCTGGGTGACCCTTTGGAATCTTGTCCCACCAGAGCGGGCATAGTAATCTCAGCGCCACCTGCCTAGGGGCGCAGAGTGGCTTAGTTGTCGCAGCCACCGCTGACCAACCACAGAAAGGGAATGGGAATGTGTGAGATAAACCCTGGAAATAGCCTGAGCAGCCCAGAGTCCCACCTCAGCTCGCAATGCACCCCCCACCTCCGTCCCCAGTGGCCCTATTGTGAGAAGCGCTGCAGCTACTGCAACTTCAATAAGTACATCCCCCGCGGCGTGGAGGAGGGGGCCATGCGGAACTGCCTGGTGACGGAGGCACAGACGCTGCTGCGGCTCAGCGGGGTGCAAAGGTCGGTGTTCAGGCCAGCAGACGAGGTCTTGGGAGAGAGGACACGATAGATGGACGTCCCTTGGGGCTTCTCCAGTTTCACGGCTCCATCCTCTTCCTCCAGGGTAGAGTCTGTGTTCTTTGGTGGGGGAACCCCGAGTCTGGCCAGTCCTCACACTGTGGCTGCTGTCCTGGAGGCCGTGGCACAGGAAACCCATTTGCCTGCGGATTCGGAAGTCACATTGGAGGCTAACCCCACTTCAGCCCCAGGTTCCAGGCTGGCAGCTTTTGGCGCAGCAGGAGTCAACAGGTTGTCCATTGGTCTGCAGGTGACCCATTTCATCCATCCTATCCCAGTGCACCCAGACCCTAAGGTGGCATTCAGCCACTGGGAAAACATTTCCGGGTACCAGGTCTAGTACACGGTAGACTGGAACAATACCATTCATTCCTTCATTTATTCATTTATTTATTTTACTGTTCTGTCTGTTGCTATACTGGCCTATATGCTTCCTGAGGCAGGCTTTGACATCATCATCATATTGTTGTTGCTGTTTTGCAACACTGTACCCTGTAGTTCAGGCTAGCCCCAAATTTGATATGTAGCCGAGGATGACCTTCTTCTGCCTCCATCTTCTTAGTATCAGGATTCCAGAGCAACCACGTCCACTTTATGTGGTGCTGGGGATCGAACACGGGTATGAGGGGCAAGCATTCTACAAACTGAGCTATATCCCCAGCCCTTATTAATATCATTATTACTTTGATAGCAGAACTGACACTGTAGCTCAGGTTGGCCTTATACTCGTAGCAATCTCCCTGCCTCAGCCTTCCAAATACTGGGATTAGAGGCACCACGCCCAGCTAGTTCACCCTTTTGTATTCCAAGCACTTAACATGGTACCTGCTACATAGTAGATGCTGCACGGGTGTGGATGGCTCAGTGGTTAGAGTCCTTCCTGTACACATGGGAACCAGAGTTTGGATCCCCATCACCCACACAAACACCGAATGGGCATGGCAGCCTGCTGTAGTCCCAGGACTTGGAGACACAGATAAAGGGGTCCCATCCCACTCTCTTAAGGCTGGCTAGCCAGACTTCCCCATATCAGCCAACTGTGGTTTGGCACAGTGAATATGGTAGCCAAGATTTAAGGAAACTCCCAGTGTCAACCTTAGGCTTATACACACACACACACACACACACACACACACATACACACACACACGCGCGCATGCGCGTGCGCGCGCACTTGCCCTCACCCTCACACACATGTGAACACATATACACACAAGCACGCTACACACATACAGACATCAAAGGAAGAAAGGATAAAAACAGGGCGGGACTTGTTATGAGATTGGAGATGGAGACAGGCCAGCAGCCAGATCATGGCGTGGTAAATACTGCCTGAGGGGTACACAACCTGATGAAATCCTGGAAGCCTTCCTGGAGGAAGTGATACATGAGTGAGACAGAGCAGGTGCTCACCCAGTAAGGGGTGTGGGAGGAAAGGGCCCAGGATGTGGAAGGACGTTGCATGTTTTGGGGGAAGCTGTGTCATCCCCTGTGACTGGGGACAAGGCAGACAAACAGGACCCAGAGCCTTCAGCTCTTGCGAGAGTTTGGGGTTTTTCCCATTGTGGAGCCTCTGAAGGTGTGTTTATGAGTCAGGAAAAATCTCTGCCAGGTTGACCTCTGATGTTTCTGTATCCCCCATTTACCACAGGGTAGACCACTTCACTTAGAGTTTGGGGTCACAGGATAGTCTGATACATCATGTCTGGATGTTTTTGCTCAAAATGCTTGTTTTTCCCTCTTCCTTTTTTTTGGGGGGGGGGGTTCGAGACAGGGTTTCTCAGTCCGTAGCTTTTGGTTCCTGTCCTAGAACTAGCTCTTGTAGACCAGGCTGGCCTCTAACTCACAGAGATCCACCTGCCTCTGCTTCCCGAGTGCTGGGATTAAAGGCGTGTGCCACCACTGCCCCACTCCTCTTCCTTTTTTTGAAGACAAGTTTGGTTTTGGTTTTGTTTTGTTTTGTTTTTTGTTTTTTGAGACAGGGTTTCTCTGTAGTTTTAGAGCCTGGCCTGGAACTAGCTTTTGTAGACCAGGCTGGCCTCTAACTCACAGAGATCGCCTGCCTCTGCCTCCCGAGTGCTGGGATTAAAAGCGTGTCACCACCGCCCCGTCAAAGACAAGGTTTTATAGCCCACGCTGGCCTTAAATGTGTCAGCTTTGAATTCTTGATCCTCTTGCCTCCACCTCCCCAGGTATTGATTGGGATTACAGGTGTGGGATTATACCACACGTGGCTTCTAATTATGAGGAAACATCAGGGAAATCTAAATTAAGAAACCCTTGGGTCTAGGTGTGGTGGTACACAGTTGTCACCTCACTGCGCAGGAGGCTGAAGAAGGAGGATTGCCATGAGTTCAAAACCAGCCAGAGCTCTTTAGTGAAACCCTGTCTCAAAAGGCAACAAAACACAACAAGAGGGAGAGAGAGAGAGAGAGAGAGAGAGGGAGAGATATTAAATATACCCTTCACTGAGGAGTAGCTCTGGGTACTGCCTTGACCACCTACATGGTTACCCCCGCTGTCTTTGTGTGTCCCTCACATCTGTGCCCCAAATAAGGCTGAGTGTTGCTGCCTCCCTTGTTACACCCGACCCTCTCTCCCCAGTCCCTGGATGACACGGAGCTGCAGCTGTTGGGACGGACTCACTCGGCCAGCGACGGTTTGCAGACTCTGGCAGAAGCCAGGCGCCTATTCCCTGGCAGAGTATCGGTGGATTTGATGCTGGGGCTACCGGCACAAAAGGTGGAGGCGTGGCTTCGACAGCTCCAGAGACTGCTGTGCCACTGCGATGACCACCTCTCCCTCTACCAGCTGACCCTGGAACGGGGCACTTCACTCTTTGCCCAGGTGCAGCAGGGCACCCTCCCAGCCCCTGACCCCGACCTGGCTGCTGAGATGTACCAGGAGGGCAGGACGGTCCTTCGAGACGCTGGCTTTCGCCAGTATGAAGTCTCCAACTTTGCACGGAACGTGAGTGCTGGGCGGATGACCGGAGATGCAAAATCAGTGGGCTGAGATGTGACCGGGAGAACGAAACCTTCTGAAGAGAGGGGTTCCCGTGTTCTCATCAGATACCACTGATCTAAACGGAAGCCAGCATCGCCTCTTTCAGTGCTGACAATTCCCTCCTTTCCCACAGGGGGCGCTCAGTACCCACAACCGGACCTACTGGCAGTGCGGTCAGTACCTTGGCATTGGGCCTGGTGAGTGGATTGTGAACACCCGAAAGCATGATTCAGGAGAGGAGCATTCTGGTTGTGTGAACTTGGACTGCTCGTTTAACCACTCAGAGCCTGCATTTCCTTTTGCAAAGTACACAAAACCTCTCTGTGGAACCACGGAATGGGAATCTCCAGGCCTTTGCAGCCTGGTGCCGTAGTTCTGAGTCTGGTGTAGATCAGAAGCCCCTGGGGGCTTGTTGCAACCAAGAATGCTGGCTGGGCCCTCCCTGCAGGACTTCTCATGGGCAGAGCTAGAGCAGGACCTGAGGATTTACATTTATAGTGGTCGCTTCGGGGACCACCCTTGGGAAAGCCCCTGATTTAAATCTGATAATTCACCATGTTAACTTACTTCTATTAATGTGTATGTGGGGGATGATTGTTTGTTGTTGTCAGGAGCCCATGGACGATTTGTGTCCCAGGGAGCCGGAGGTCACACCCGGGAAGCACGGATCCAGACGCTGGAACCAGACAACTGGATGAAAGAGGTGATGCTGTTTGGTCATGGCACCCGGAAGTGTGTCCCCCTGAGCAAGCTGGAGGTGTGAGTACCTAAGTACCCAGGGCTCTTCACCAAGGGTATCCTACACCCCAGAAGCCCCACCATGCTTTTACATCGTTATTGCCTGCTTTGCCTCTCCCACTCTTGAGTTCTAAGCATAACATCACATTCCGGCATTGGGCTTAAAGAACGTGAGAGCTTCCCCTTAAGATCCCATGTGATTTTCTTTCAGGCTGGAGGAGGTTTTGGCTATGGGGCTGCGCACTGATGTGGGGGTCACTCATCAGGTAAGGGACTGGGGGTTCTTAGATGCATCAGCTCAGCTCTGGGTTGACCGCTGGAGGATGGGCCTGGCTAGCCGATGCCTGATGGCAGAATCAGTAGGCAGTGTTGTATAATGGTCAGAACCTTAGACTAGGGCTGAGTACTGGTTTTGGTTTTTCAAGACAGAGTTTCTCTGTGTAACCCTGGCAGTGTTGAAACTCATGCTATAGAACAGGCTGGCCTCGAACTCACAGAGATCCGCCTGCCTCTGCCTCCCAAGTGCTGGGATTAAAAGCGTGCACCACCATACCTGTCGCGCAAGTACTCTCAAGTACACTGAAACTTCAGATGGGAAGGGTAATAGCGACTGGAGCGGTGGTGGCGCACACCTTTAATCCCAGCACTCGGAAGGCAGAGGCAGGCGGATCTCTGTGAGTTCGAGGCCAGCCTGGTCTACAAGAGCTAGTTGCAGGACAGGCACTAAAGCTACAGAGAAACCCTGTCTCAGGAAAAAAAATAATAATGACTAATTAGATTCAGGGTTACTATGGATGTCGTTTGGGCTATGAAGCCCTGGCGCTGGCACTGCCCATTGAAGGGGACAGCAGGAGAGAGCAGAAGAGACTTGCCCCCCCCCCCCCCCCCCGCTGGATTTGGGTCTCCACATGCACTAAGAATAAAAGCGCTTGCTTTCTCTCTGGCGGTTGACCTGTCCTGCCTGGCGTTCATGAGCGTCTTTGCTCAGACACCATGCTGGACTTTCCCTGACCCCTCCCTGGATCCAACCGCCTGGCCCTCAGCCAGCGCATTGCCCTAGCTCTTCTGGTTCCCAGCACTGGCAGCAGTTCGAGCCCCAGCTGACCCTATGGGACGTGTTCGGAGGAAGCAGGGAGGTGGAGGAGCTGCGAGCGCAGGGTCTGTTGCTGTTGGACCACAGGTGTGTTGGTACAGAGGGGGCTAAGGGGTCCCTGGGAGCCCTGACTACAGATAAAGGCATGGGCGCGGGGGGGGGGGGGGGGGGGGGGGGGGGGGGGGGGGAGTGTCTGCCATAACGCATGCTCCCCTCTTCAAAGTGGCGGAAACAAGAAAGACCAGTAGCGAAGGGTCTGTGGGGTCCCAGGGGTACACGGTCAGGAATGAGTCTTAAAGCAGTAAAGGAAAAGTCATGCCCGGGTCTCTCGGTTTCCCAGGGGTCTCCGGTGTTCATGGGAGGGGCTAGCTGTGCTGGACTCACTGCTGCTGATCCTCTTGCCTCAACTCCAAGAAGCCTGGCAGCACAGGACTCCCTCACCTGTGTCAGGAGGATGACCAGCTGCTTCTGCATCACAGGGCAACAGCAGTTGGACTTCTAAGGTTGGGCCGGCATGGCGGTCATCTCTCCTCTGCCTGCTTTAAGGTGCCGGCCTCTCTGCTTTAAGTTGTTATTGCTTGGCTCTGATGTCCCGACGGGGATGGCTACAGTGAACTGGGAGAAAGTGCATCTCTGGTCCTGGAGTTGGTACCCACCAACATCTCAGGGGCCACAGAACAGCCTGTGTTCCCATGTGAGCCTAGGAGGTACTCGTCACACACTGGCTTTTGTTGGTCCTTTTGGACACTAAATAACAAGCAATATTTGGAAGTTATTCTGCAGGGAATTGTGTCTGTTGGAGAAGTCTCCCTCATTCTGGAGTAAAGCCCCGAGTTGGCGTGTATGATTCAGTAGAACTAAATCCCCTCCAGGTATCTTAAACAAGGGAAAAAAACGTAAGAGTGGGATATTTACAGAATCATTTGAGAGGCTGGAGAGATGGTCCAGTAGTTAGAGCACTGCTCTTCCAGAGGACCAGGGTTCAGTTCCCAGCAGCCATGCGGTGGCTCACAACCATCTGTGACGCCCATTCTAGGGGACCAGGAACCCTCTTCTGACCTCTGCAGATACCAGGCACATATGTGGTACATGGACACTCATTCAGGCAAAACACTCATGCATAAAATAAAAATAAATCTTTTATTAAAAAGCATATTTGAGGTTTGTAGTCAAGGCAATTTGTTGTACAGAATGGGTCCCACACTCTGGGTTTATCTGATTATCTGATTGTTTTCTTTCTCAAGACAAGGTTTCTCTGTGCTATAGTCCTGATTGTCCTAGAACTCCTTTTGTAGACCAGGCTGGCCTCAGACTCACTGAACTCAAGTGCTGGGATTGCCATTTCCCCACAGCAAAGAACTTTCCTTTGTTATCGATGTAATGTTAGGGTCAAACCTGTGGCCTTGCTCAAGTCGGACAACTGTTCTCTTGCTGAACAAGCCAGAGTTTCTTTTCTTTCTTTTGTTTTCTTTTCTTTTCTTTCTTTTTTTTTTAATTGAGCGACCCTCAGTGTTAGAATCCAGACCAGAGTGCTGCTCAGGCCATGCCCACCTGCAGCAACCTCCTCGGTCTATGCTAGAAATGAAGAAATGCCAGGCTGTGAATCCCTAGCTCCTACCGGGCTCCTCGGTGCCCCACCCTTTAGCCCCCAGGTTGTCATACTCCCTGGACATGGGAGGGCTGTCATAATGGGTTTGCCTCAACTAGATGCTCCCCTCCTCTTCAAAGTGGCTTATTCCTTGCTGGCGATGCAAACACCCTCCCTCTTTTTCCCTACTGCCTGCAGGGGAGTCAGAGACAACCCTGAAGAAGGGGAAATCTCCCCCTTCCTCCAAAGCCTATATGGAAGGGACCCCCCCCCCGCCAACTTTGCCTTGTAGAACTTGAATTATCATCAGAGCCCTGGCCATGTTATCCACGTACCCATAGAAGTGGGGCCTGAGTGCTCCTCAGAGTCCACACTGTGCTGCTGCCTATTTGTGTGTCTGTCGTATTAATTCTTCTTTCAATAAATCTCTTTCTCTTTTAGTCAATCTCCTACTCTTTGTCTTAAAGACAAACCTGAGTGCCCCCCCCCCTTGAGCCACTCCCAGCCTTTTACTCTTTTATTGGGAATTGTATATTCTCTGTGTGTGTGTGTGTGTGTGTGTGTATGGTTTGTTTGGCTGTATGCCATGCGTGAGTGTGTTTGTGTGTGTGTGTGTGTTTGTGCATGGTTTGTTTGGCTGTATGCCATGCGTGAGTGTGTTTGTGTGTGTGTGTGTTTGTGCATGGTTTGTTTGGCTGTATGCCATGCGTGAGTGTGTTTGTGTGTGTGTGTGTTTGTGCATGGTTTGTTTGGCTGTATGCCATGCGTGAGTGTGTTTGTGTGTGTGTGTGTGTGTATGCATGCACCTGGTTTGTTTGGCTGTATGCTGTGTGTCTGTGTGGTTTGTTTTGCTGTATGCCGTGTGTGTGTGTGTGTGTGTGTGTGTGTGTGTGTGTGGTTTGTTTCATTGTGCTGGGACTGGAACTCAGGCCCTCCTGATGTTATGCGATCCTCCATCACTGAGCTACATCCTCAACCTAAGGCTCTGTAACTGACTCCTTGTCAAGGCAAAGGGTACCAGGGTGCCAGAGTAATTTAGAAACCCTGCAGATGCTGGGTTTCATGCTGGGCTCAGTCTCCAATGGATGATGAAGGATGGGGTTCCCCGCTCCTCTCAGGGGTAAGCGTGTGTATTTTCCATGTGTTGGTGGTTGTGAGTGCCAGGCCTTCTTTGACCTTGTGGTAACTGTTACTCCCTCTCCTTTATTCATGAGCTGGTCTTCTAGCATCAGTGGTATGCCAGGCGCTGTACTGGGCATGAATAGAGGAATAAAATAAGAGCTGTCTGTGCTCTTAGGGAGCTTGATGCCATGTTGACAGATGTTCAGAGAGATAAACCCCAGGGCTGTTGGTTAAGGTGTTACAGATAGCCAAGGGAGCCCAAGGGCATTTGGTTTTGAGGATCTGACAGGAAGGAAGGAAGTTTTGTTTTTCTTACCAATTCATAGTACCCCTAGGGCCCTGGACAGCCCAGGCTCAGGGCAGCTGGTGGGTGGCCTTTGCTGCTCAAGGGTCCTTGCCCCAGCCTTCCCCTCACCTTGATATTCAAGAAGCTAGCACAGCCCTGGGGCAGGTGTTCCATCAGATAAACCTAGGCCACTCAGGTTTCTCCTAACTGCCAGGACTTGTGCCACCTGAGATGTCTGGGTCCCCCCTGTTGAGGCACCTCAGGGAGCCTGTGTAGGGGCTGGATGGGAGCCAGGGAGATCAGGGTGGCCCCAATCACCTCCCGTGACTCAGCCTCATCCCACCCTTCCCGATGAATCAGAACCTCCTGGAGGTGGGGCCCAGGAATCAAGCTGTTGAATGTTTCCTCAAGGCTCCAAACTCGGGCCCAAAGACTGTCTTCTCCCACCTTGCGTCCTGGGGTGGGGACAGGAGAGTGGCTACTTCCGACATGGCCAGTGGAAGTGGGAGCTCTCCATGGCTCATCCGTCGAGTCTTCCATTTGGGGACTTTAGCTGTTGTCTTCTCAGCACTGGAGTTTTCAGACAGTGTCTCACATAATCTGGCCTTGAGCTCTGAGTAGCTGAAAGTAACCTTTAACTTCTGATTCTGCCGCTGCCACCACCCAGATGCTAGCATTTACAGACATGTCCCACCATGCCTGGCCTCTTCTATATTTAAATCATCTTCGGTTACATGTAATACCTAATGCAGTATAAATCTGTGTAAATAGGGCTATGGAGATGACTCAGTGGGCACTTGTCAGCAAGCCTGACAATCTAGTTTGATCCCCAGGACCTACATGATAGGAAAGAGCTGCCTCCTGCAAATTGTCGACTAACCCCCGCCCCCCCAGAGTGTCATGGTATGCACAGACACCCCAAATAAATACATGTAATTTTTAAGAAGGTGTGTGTTGCAGGGAGTGTTCCCGGGGCAGTAGCTCATCGGTTAAGAGCAGTTGGTACTTTTGCAGAGGACTTGGGTTCACTTCCCAGCACCCTCATCATGGTTTGCTTGCCAAGTTTTGGGGGAGGATCTGGCGCTCTCTTCTGGCCTCTGCAGGCACCAGGCATGCATGTGGTACACATACAAGCAAGCAAACACTCAAACTTCTTTTCAAATATAATTTTTAACTTAAAAAATATATATGTATATATATACATATATATCTATATATTAGGGCATAATGACAAGGAAGAAAATATGTAGGTGTTCAGTATAGAAGCAGTTTCTCCCTGAAAATTCCCCGTTGGGAATTTCTTGAATCTGCAGATAGTGAACCCACAGATACACCACTTGAGTACCCCATCTTTGAGCAGCTTTAATGATGAAGGTCCATTTCACTCTGGCCCTGCTCTGTGGCACCATCCATTTCCTGGGGTAGAAGCACATTCTCTTTTGCTTGATTCAGCAGGAAAGCCGCAGAGCGAAATGCCTGAGTTGTATAACTGTTCAGCGTTTGCTACTACTCCTTGGAGTATGGGAGATCCCAGAGACCTGAGAAGGGGCAGGAGATGTGCCCAGCCCCCACTGTAAGAAGTGATGGGTGGACCACTGCCTGTGTGTCCCTCTGGGACAAGAATCTGCATTGTTCAGACAGAGAGACCCTTGTGGCAGTCTGGTCTCAGAGTGGAGCCAGTGGTGGGCAGAGGAGCAACTGGGCATAAGAGAGAAGCAGAAAGAACTTAGCATTTGCTGTGTTGCTAGTATATTTTCAGATAGTTAGCACAGCACAATTGAGATTAAGCTGTCAGATGCAATTGGTGGTCCCAGCATTCAGAGATTAACAGTTACTAGGCTGGGTGTGGCTGTGTGGCTCAATGGTAGAGTGCTTGCCCTGCATTCGGCAGCCTTGAGTTCCATGTCCAGCACTGAGAGCATGAAGATTACCACTGTTACGATTATGTGGATACGATGGGGAAATAGCTCAGGTATTAGAGGCTTGCCTAGCATACACTGGTGCAATCCCCAACACCGAGTAAGCCTGGCAGCAGTCCAACACCTGGAGTCCTTGCACGGGAAATGAAGGCAGGAGGGACCTCAGGAGTTCAGGGTCAGCTTCAGCTACATAGCATTTTGGAGGATGGCATGGGCTGTATGGGACCAAAACTCCAAGCTCTAGGCATCAATCTCTCAATTGAGTGAGCTGATTTTTTTAACCAGAGTTTGCACTGCACTTCATAGAAATACTATACATACGTGCATAGTTGGTTACCTAGATTCCCAGATCTCTAGTTCTCCTGTCTTCCTTTTCCCTGAAGGGAACTTTAAAGCCAACTTTTAAACTATTATAAACGAGCAATACAATGGAAACATTAGGCAGAATTGTAAATGGAAATCAAAACCCCCGGTGATGCTCTCACTGGTTTTATTTGCCTACGTGTCCTTCCTGCACTTGTCCAGGGCAAGCCATATTTTTGCTGAGTATCCAGGCTCGGGTCTAATTTTGTACCTTGCCTCTTTAGCTTCTCATTTTTCACAAGCAGTTCTCCACCATGAGCCACGGTCATCATCTTCCTCTTCTTAATTGTTGAATAGTGTTCCAGTGAGTGAACCATTTATTAATCATTCCCCTAATGTAGATCACTTACACGGTTACACAATCTTCCCCATGATGAGTACCGCTGCAGCGTGGTTTATGGATATCATTGCTTCCTTTGTTTGGATTATTTCCTCTAGTCAGTGTCCCAGAAGGAGATGGCAGGGCTAAAGGGTATAAATGCTTTAGTGACCCTTGGCGTGAATTACTATATTGTTTTCCAAAGGTTTTCCTCTTTAAAAAAAAAAACCTGCTAAGAAAAAAATACACATCTCTTTTTCAACCACATAAAAGAAAAGCAAAAGAGTATACTACAGAAATTTCTACAACATTCGGATGCTGATCTTTCTAGACAGCTTGTGTTACATAGATATATATGTAGATGGAGAGATAAAAATAATTTTTAAACAAAAGGGATCATATTCCTATGCCGGTTTTGTAGACGTGTTTCACTCTCTCTTTCCCTCCCTCCCTCCCTCCCTCTCTCCCTTCCTCCCCCCCCTCTTTCTTTTTTTCAACTGAAGATGTTCTGGATTTTTCTAGTTGGTTCTTTGAGTAGCTGTGCCTGGCACTGGAACGATGAAGTGGGAAACTGCTATAAACCAGACGCCCTGCCAACGGTTTTGCCTGAGTTTAGTTGTTGAGGTTCAACAAGACCCAGTGAGAGACGGTGTCCCTTTCACAAAGTCATAGACTCAAAGAAATTGCCCAAGGTCACATGACCAGAGAGTGGGTGGGTAAGGGGAGTGGGGATGGGAGGTGGGGGGTAGGAAGAGTGGGGGGTTATTGGGGGGTGGTGCTTGAGCAAAATTCTTTGAATCTCCAAAACAGATGAATATACAAAATAGTACAAGAACATATTTGTGTTTGTTTTTAATTAGCCTTTTTATTGTACCCTTTTTTTTTCAAGTGAGGATCCCTCACTGTTCCTGCCTCCTAGAGCCTCCATGAGCCACAAGAAGAGGAGAACTCGGGAGAGGTGGGTTTCCACAACATCAACTTACACACAGAACTGAACAGACAGGCACAAAGTCATTATTGAGGTTAAGATGATAGCGAAGGACAAGGGAGGACAGAGGATGGGAAGTAGGGTACCCTTAGAAAATCCAGCCATCCCCAGCTGGGTGCCTTAAGGGAGCCATGGTTGGCTCCAAAACCAAGAGGAATTACAAGACAAAGCCATTTAGAATAGCACGCGGAAGACAGACAGTACAGAAGGTAAGAGGGACAGTTTGGCAACTGGGAGCAAGGGATTGCCCCCTCCACTCCCTGTAGGATTCCTTTCCTCAGCCTCTCTGGTCTGGCGAGAAGGGGCAGGTCTGGGATGCCACATGC